AATAAACTGTTCGTAGCAGCTGTTCTTGTAGATCATTGAGGCAACCCTGTAGACCATTTTTAGCCTTGAGGCTTTTTTTAAAGTGTATTACATATTTTTAACGTTAACGTAATTTTGATAAAGGAATATCATTTTCATCTGAATTAGCTTCTACCTCTTCTTCAGACTGAACTGTACTGTTATATTCCTCTTGGATGAGGCGAACAGGAGAAACAGACGAATTATTTTCCGCATCAAACTCGCTCTCGGAGCTAGAGGATTCAGCTTCCTAATTTGCCTCTTCCCAGTCACTACCACTATCTTTAAATGGGTCTGGATGACTATCTTCTCGATTCATAATATGTGCCACTTCCTCCTTCAGTTCTTTTGCGGACAAAACTTTTTATTTGTCATTCCAATTAGAAAAAAATTCAAATAGTATATTATGTAATGAGAATGAAAAAACAATTTACCTTAATATTTTGTTACTAAAACACTCAAAATCAAAATACAAACACTAAGAACCAGCTGATTTATTATATGACGTAAACATGGGACTTTCGTAAGCATTACGAATCAAGCTAAGAAATATTGTCTTAGAATTTGAAATTATAACAACCGTCTGAGACACTATTAAGCTGATACTAATCAGGAAGGTACTGAAGGTACATAAGCGTAGTCAAATTTACGAATGACCCGTATTCTAGGGTTAAGTTTCCTCTCATAAAATATAGTAGTTAATAATTTATTTGGTCGAAGGATTAGAAAAAAGGATAATGAAATAATTTCCGGTATTTTGTAGATCAATACGTATTTATTGTCTTTATTAACATTCTTTTGAAAACAATTTTTGGCCCACCCATTCCCTTGTGTCAAAAAATAAACACTCAAATTTAAAACTCTCTATAAAAAATATACACAATAATAAAAAATATCTATTGGATTTTTGTCCAATTATTAAAAAGTTTCTTATATAAAATGTCTCATAATAAAATTAAATTTAGTTTTAACTACTTATCATTTTACAAATTTTAAGGCAAAAGTAATTTTTCTTTAAAAATATGAGCAGGTAAAAAGAGTTCTTTAGAAATTAAGTTGGCAATTGTAAATTATATAATTTATATTTGTTGATTGTACCAAAACTTTCAACAAGTCAGTATCAACGATGCAAAAATTAGAAAATGTAATAAAATAGACCAGAGTATAATTATCAAGATACAATTAAAATAAACTACTATATATGTAAAACTCTGGGAAATTTTGTTTTATTTAGTAGCTGTATTTTGCTGTATTTTGAGACATTTTATAGACATCTAAATTTGCTAGTCTCTTAAAATATTAAGTACCACACCATTGGACCGGATTCTTTTAGATACATTTCACTGTATTTTCTTAAAAACTAGATTTAAATTTATGACTATATAACAAGAAAAAGTTTTGAGGCTTAACTCTTCATATTGCATGGTATAAAATTATAGAACAACCTAAAAATTTGGTCCCTAGGTATTGATTTACTTACTAAACCTCAAAATTCAATAATATTCATATAAAAACAATTTGTATAAATTTTGTATTTGTTTTTGAGCAAATAGTTATAAATCTTGTATATACATAAAGGTATTTAGTAAAATAGGCAATTTTAGTTTCTAATTAAAATAATTATCACACTTATTGTCAATCAAAATATTGATATAATTTTAATTCGTTGTTTTTTAATTCAGTGGTTAAAAATAGTCTTTTGGACGAAACTTTTTATTTTACGATATTATAAAAGCTAATATATCACGTAGTATATCCATTGAAAAAATAATACTAGGTAAAATATGCACATTTTATAAATCGTAAAATTAACACAAAAATGTAATGAATATTTATTAAAGTAAAAATGTTTAATCACTTTTTTCTCGTATTTATTGTTTGTTTTTGGTATAATTACTACTTACCAAACTAAAAGTGACCCACAAAAGTTATGTGAGCAGTATCAAAAATTACGGAGTATTCTCTGTTATTAGGCCATGCTAATAAAATGGGTTTATTTTATTGTTGATGCTGTTCAGTATTGTTACAGTCAAAATGGCAAGTTCCAAAGCACCAGAAATGGATAATAACTAATGTGGCTAAATGATCGATCATTTTAAAAGAATACTTTGTACGAATTTAAAAAATTAAAAGAAAATATGGTAACCACGTAAGCATAACTCCATATCACCCTGATATCAATCCCATCGAACTGGTTTAGGCAGCATCGTAAAATTATACAGGATCAAGAACTATAACTTTTAAATTAAGTGAATTGGAGGTATTGCCCGATAATTTTTTTAAAATACTTACCATACAGATACAAATCTATTGAAATATCACATTTATCATTACAAAATCTCGAATATTTAGAATCTGGATTATCAAAGGCTAGTGATTTGGTTTGTCAATTTTATAGATATAAAGACCAATTCACAAATTAATGTAATACAGAACATGACTCGTAAATAAAACCTAGCAGATTTACACCTGGGAAATATGAACGAACGGTAATTCGGCAACTGCAGCAAAGACAAAAAAATAGTGCGAAGTAAGAACTAAAATTATACTCTAGAATTACTGGTTGCTTTCTTAAGACTCTATCTACAATAGAACATATCGTTGATCTAGTACAGACAGTTGTTAATTGAGTTTTTTTTTGACAAATGAGTTAAATACATTTGTAATAAAAACTAGTCTACTAGCAAGGAGTTTCGTATGCACACTCGGGCTAAGTCAATTTTAAACTAGCTAACACCATCTTGCAAGAGCACTTTTGTGCAATAATTACAAATAAGTGAAGTGAGAACTTTCCTCCTTTTAAGGATATGGAACAATGACAGTTAATCGTGGCATTCAGGTCAAAGTATTAAGAGGTCTTTATAAAAGAATGTTGTTTTACTTAAATATAATTATTTATTCTAGTTACCACAAAAATATTGGAAATGGAGAAAATCTACTCAAGTAATAGCACATAATACATAGATATTAAGAAAAATGTTAAGGAATAGTGGTAAAAGAAATTCTAGAACAAAGTCTTTTTCCAACAATTGTTTAAAGTGCCAAACAAGGTTCAAAGGTCAAAAACTCTTTTCTCAAATGGATACAGCAGCTATATGCAGATTACTTCACTTTAGGAAATCATACGAAACAAAAAAAAAGCTACTATTCAGGTATTTAATACAAATAGTGGCTGTATCAAGAAACAGAGTCCTATAACAAAAAATTGAAAGGAAATATGCCAATAATGGACAAGGAAATCCAGTGAATTTCAAGTTTTTTAGAGCCGAATTGTCTAGAATTGTGTTAAGCTTTTGATGAATAAGAAATGTTTTTTTCAACTATGATAAAAAAGGAGAGCAATCCCTACAATGCAACTGCTTAGATCTACTGGCAGCAGTTAAGGATCATATCAACTTATTTTCAAGAACTGAGTCGAATTATATAAGGCATGATTCAAATAAAAACTATGTGAATACAGACTTTTCGATAATGTCTCGATTATATCAAGGCTTTTGTGCTTTTAGTAGTGTAAGATCGGTCTCAAAGTTTATGTACCAAACTATTTTCATGATTTTCTTTCCTTTTCTAAAAAAGAGTAATGTGTGGTGACAAATGGTCAAAGAGATCAAGTAACAAAACCTTTAAGACAAGAACATGAAAAGCATAAAACAACCAAAACACAGTCCTTGGGTGTGAAATAAAAGGACAAAAAAATGGTACCCACCGAGATGAGACAATAATTTAATGATACATAAACATATTTATAACACTCGGGAATGTTATCTGTCGATTTCAGCTGCTAGGATGAAATCTAGACAATATTAAGTTTAATTCATTTAAAGAACTCTTTTAACGGAAGGTTTTTTTAATTTACAGAACATTATAAATGTCGTTATAAAAAACAGTTTAAATTCTGATGTGACAATGTCGAGCAGTTAAAAATCAACTGGTTGCTATTTCAGAAAGAACAAGCATTCCTAATTCAATATAAATACGATATAACATCAGAAAATTTTTTAGAACTGAATATTAGACAAAGCAAAAGACAATTCAGATGCATAAGTAGCTGAAAGTCAGTTTAACTGAAGTCTAAGTATCCCATATTTCTGAAAAAATCAAATCAAAGAAAAAAAATCAAAGCCATAACATAATTTATCCTTTTAAACATGGCTTATATCATTAGCAAATAGAGCAATTATTAATTTGAAGATTACAGTACATAGACTTATCTTATCGACTTTTGTCGAATATTCTCTTAATTAAACCGCTCTAAACTTTTAAGTACTCCACTATGGAGCTGAATCATGGACATTAAACCGGAATACAATAAATCGACTTAACGCGTTTGAAATGTGGACATTTAGAAGATTGTTAAGGATTCCATGGGTAGACAGAGTCACGAATGCAGAAGTGTTAAGGAGAATAGGCAGAGAGACGGAAATAGAAAATACAACAAAAGAAGGGAAGTTGCAATATCTCGGACATGTAATGAGAGGCAAAATATTCAATATCTTTAGAACCATAATTCAAGGAAAAATAGAGGGTAGGGGAAGAGTAGGAAGAAGACGCGTTTCCTGGTTGAAGAACCTGAGAGAGTGGTTTGGCTGCAGCTCAAGGCACTTGTTCAGAGCAGCTGCCTCGAAGGTCAGAATAGCCATGATAATTGCCAACCTTCGTCGCGGAGATGGCACTGAAAGAAGAATAAGAAACTTTCAAGCAATTATCTGTATATCAATAGTAAATGAAGTTATGAACAAACATTTTTTTCTTGTGGTAACTTGTAAATTTGTTAACAGAACAAATGTGAGTACGATCCGTATATAGTTAAACAATGTGTATATTTATAAATATATTAATTTAATAATTATTATATATATGTATATATATATATATATATATATATATATATATATATATATATATATGTGTGTGTATGTATATATTTACAAATATAATAACAATTGAATTTATTAATTTAATATATTTTGGAAATGAGTTAAGAAATTTTCTATAATTTTTTTATGATATTTACAGTAAAGGAAAAAATGATTTTCCTGGTCAGAACATAATATCGACAAAATTAGACTAAACTAAAAATATTAAAGGAAAATAAAATAGTTAAAAACTTTAATATATCTCTGTTCGAAAACAACAGTATATTGTCATGTCTTTTTTTGTACACCAGGAACTACCTTTGAAAACGATTTTTAACCACCATTTCTATTATCTAATATGTTTTAGTATTTTGGAACATTCGCCATGGGGACATCCTTGGTCTTGGTGGATTGTCCAACATGTCCAGGCGCTAAGTGGAGTGAACTTAGCCTATTTGCACCTCTAACTAGCCTCCAGATGGCGATAATGAGTAGAACGATTCCAATGACAAACAGTGAGACTGATATGACCACTTTGGCTATTGGTGGAGCTGTCGTGGCGATTTTCATAAGACCGGTCATCTCTGGTGGAAGAGAATCCAAGCCCTAAAAAACGGTAATCAAGTTAAAAATTTTAGCATAATAATGAAAGTACATTTTTGAATAAGTGTGGTATATAACCAGTTTTTTGTTAAGCTAGTTCGAAAATAACTGTTTTTTGATGTTAGACATCTTAGTATTATCAGCTGTAACTTAAGATGATTGTTAATTTTCAGTTTTTCGAACAATTCTGCTAATATATCGAAAATGCCATATAGAAATGGCAAACTATTCATATCCGATTCCGCTACAATGGTGCAGCACCTGCCCACTCGACCATTCTGGGCCCATCCTGGTCTGAAAATTTAACCAAGGAGGATGAGAACCCAAATTGGGGTCCATTCAGTTCTGTACCATAGAGAGCACAGAATAACAATCGAGGCAAGGGCCTGACTCCAGACGTCAAAATGACCCATCCAACCATTAATTATCACCCAGTATTTAGACGAGTTAAGCCTGTAGGCTGACATCATAGCTTCCTGCTCTACAATAAGATGTAGAGAATAAAAATCCAGCAAAACCTTAAGAGCCGCTATAGGAGTGGTCCACATGGCTCCTGAGATGCCAGCTGGTGGAGGTGAGTCAATTGAGCCTTTGCTGAAGCCAGTCTAGCCCGCGACCACCACACAATGGAAGTATACGTCAGTATAGGCTTTATTATGGATTGTGGAAGATTATTTTGATATTATGGAAAATCAACGTTCACTCCTAGGTATCTAACTAGCTTGAAAACAGACAAAGTTTTACCATAAGCTCCTTGGTATATCCGATATGAGTCACAGCTCAGAATTAACCCCGAATGACTTGCGTGCAAAGGGCTACCGCTACGTGCTTTATCACATATAAACCGGTCCACTAGTCTCTCTAGAGCCTTTAGGAGCAAAGATGTGAGACTGGCAGGAACGTAAAAGAATATAGAGAAGTTAATATTAGAAATATGAATATTTTACTTAAGGGTCTATTGGGTATGAAGAAAAAAAATGAAGATGAGGAGAAAGAAGTGATCTTGAAAATGTAGTGTTTCCACATTTATCACACAAAATTGAGTTAAAGAAGATGTATCTACTATAAATGTAACATGGGCATAATCAATAAAACACGGCAGAAGAAAAAAAACTAAGAGAACGAATTATCGTAGGACCAGAAAAAGTTCTTAAGTGCAACAAGAGTTTTTCACAAACATCTAAGATTTTTTCCCTATCTGAAGTTATCTGCAACTTCAGTTACCTTAATTCTCTACTTTGGTCATTACCTTTAAAATACTTAACTTACACACAAACAGATAAGCACATAGACAGACATAGTTTTAAGAAGGCTGTATTAGACCCTAAGTAAATATGCTCCTTTATGGTCAGTTTCTATATATTATTAGGGTTAACTTAAAGATTCAAAAGTTACTTACCTCTTCGAACCACAAGATGGGGAATATGATGTCTGGGAATGTGGCAACTTGTTTTATGTCTATTACTTGAGAAACAGCCAAGTTGATTTGGATACGAGCTTTAGCAGACATCGCTGAGCCCATTTCCTAAAAAATATTAGAAAAAGATTAGAAGTAATACGGAACAAATAAAATATTTCTATTTTTTTTTATATTAAATAAAATACTTTTGTAGATATATTATTACTTTAATTGTCAATTTTTATTTTTTTTTAATTCCTATATAGCCAAAGTTCAAAAGATTTTAGTCTGTTTATCAGTGCTTTATTAGGGTCTGTTTTCCATGCCACATAATACAATTGGACATATTTTGCGTTTAAAAAGCCTTTTGCGTATCTTAAGATTTAATAAGATGTTACATGTTCTTCAAACTAATACAAATTTTTCATGCTGTTTATATTCCTGCTTTTAGATTTGTTATTGGATGCAGGTATCTAGTTTTACTATGGTTGTATTCTACCGTTTTTATTTATATTGTAGTTAAAACATATTTTGTTTACTTGAGTGTTTCGCAATCTTCTTCTGTTTTTTACTGTAATTATTAAGTTCCGATAAATACACGTCGTCTACAAACTTTTATTGCTCTTTTTAATTTAACATATTTTTTTAATTGTCCTTTTGTGATTTTTTTCATTTTTCCCGTAACCGTATTACTACTTACTATTATTTTTCCTTTTTTCCTACTCCAAGATAATTAATTTTTCATATATATTTTGTAGTATTGTCATTTTTAAGTTTGGAATTCACAATTTTATGATTATTATTTTTGTTCTACTTTAAATTATTTTTGTTTTAAAAAGGAAAAGACAGTTAAGATTTGATTTCACGTATAGTGCGTCTGTGTATCCGCTTATACGTATTTCGGCCTAATAGGCCTCTTCAAAACGGAAATTCACAGTCGCACTGAACGTGAAAATAAATCTCTTCTGCCTTAGGAAGCAACGCTGATATGCCTTAAAATGGACGCAAATAACGACTTCTGATATTAAATCCGTAAACTAATTTTGTGTGTGTGCTTGGGAAATTGACTGCGAAACCTATGGTTTCATTATCCTAATCATGTTTGACTTTGTTTCTTAAAAATGGTTAAAATAAAATCTATTAATATGTAAAATTTACCTTAATATTTTAAAAACAATATAACTACTGTAAAAATTCTACATTATACAATTGGTAAATCATTTATTTTTTGTTTTTTTTTTGTTTTTTTTTATTTTTATATTTTTTTTGAATTCTTATTTTATTTTTTTTTTATTTTATTATTTTTTTATTTTTTAAATATTTTTTCTGTATTTCTTTGTAATAATATTGTTTAATATTTTTTTTTTCATTTATGTACAAGTTTTGGTATACATTGATATTTATAAACTATTGCTTTATGTTCTTATATTTAAACTGTTTATGTATTGATATAAGGTTGACCCATAAAGGTTGATGGGTTTTACTAAAATTTTTATTTTCATAATGATTTCCATAAAAATGTTGGTCTTATTTCTATTTTTACTACAATTTAATATCATATGTTCTAGTGTGCCATGTTCTCCACACTCGGAGTTTGGGGAATTTACAATTTTTAATTTAAATAAGTGAGATGGTGCTAGGGAATGATCGAATCGAATTCTACAGATAATTCTGATTGCATCTTTTTTTGTTATAAAATTACAGAACCATGGTTTGGTAAGAATTTTCGTCTGAATGCCTTTATAAAAAAGTCCCTTGGTGATCATTCATATTTATTCATCCATTCCTACCATTATATTTTTTAAAATAATATAAAAGTCTTCAGGAACTAATAAATAATTTACAAAATTATAGGAATCTAATGCTTTCTTGGCCAGTATGTCTACTTTTTCATTGTGGATGATCCCACAATGAGCTTTAACCCAAACAAACTTCGCTATTTTTTCTTCCTCATACAAGTATTTAAAATTGGTTAATATGTTTTGTAAGATATAATTGATATTAATATTAGAATATAATTTTTAAAAGTTTATGTAAAACACTTTTACAATCTGATAATATTAAAAAATTTTTATTATTAAATAAATTAGTCTTAATATATTTTAATGCTTCTAATATAGCGAGTTGTTCAGCTGAATAACTTGAAAATTCACCCGGAACTTTTTTAGCCTCGAAATAGTCTTGTGTAGGGTTCCAAAATGCACAGGACATTTTTTCGTCTTTTTTTTTATACATCTGTAAATTCGATATGATAATTTTTAAACTAATTTTCTATGTCTGAATTAAACATCACATTTCTCAAGGACATGGGGTAATTAGAATAATCTTTTAGACAGCGTATTTCTATTTCAGGCACATCAGTTAAGTTTGTTTGGTATATAACAGTTCGTTTTTATACATATTGTCTTTATATTGTAAGCAGTCTTGACATGATTTACATAAAACCAGTGATTCTTTTTTCTTCCAGTACTTATTAGTTAAATCCATTATAAAAAGGTTGTGAACTTTATTAACTAGACTACTATTTTTAGATAAACTTTTGCACAATAATTTATTACATAGATATTTTATTCTTACCTCTAAAGCCATTTTACAACATTCTACTTGAAGATTTGAAAATGGTGTACTTTTAAAGGCTTAAAGGGACAATCTTAGACATTTATTCACCAAATTATCTAACTTTTTTAGGTAACTGGAGGCTGCTTGAGAGTATAGAAAGCATCCGTAATCCAAAATTGATCTAATAAATGACCTGTATAATAACAGGGATATTTCTGAATCGGCTCTTCAACTGTAAGAACTTACAACTCTTAATATATTTAATACTTTTTCGGCTTAATATTCTTTCTATGTGCTCTTTCCAGACTAATTTTCTATCAAAAGTTACTCCTAGGTATGTTAAGTAAGAAACAACGGGAAAACTATGTTCTTGTAAAACAATCTGACTGGGAATAATTCGTTTCCGGGTGAATATACATGATATCGATTTCGTTAGTGAAATCTTTAAACTTTTTTCGTGACACCACTGGTTAAATCGAAAAAAAAAAAAATTGATTTAAAGAACTGTAACCAGAAAATATCGAATTATTTGTCCTTTTATTCAATCGCATTTATGATACAGGTAAAATACCCCAAGATTGGCTGGAGTCAATATTCATCCCACTACCAAAAAAGCCAAACCCACAACACTGCAATGAGTTCCGTCTGATAAGCCTTATAAGTCATGCAGTAAAAGTCCTACTAAAAATCGTACATAATCGTATCTATAGAAAGTGCGAAACAATTATCGGAGACGATCAGTTTGGATTCAGAGCCGGCATGGGAACAAGAGAAGCCCTGTTCAGTTTACTAGTTATCGCCCAAAAATGCTACGACCAACAGAAAGATATATTTATATGCTTTATAGACTTCGAAAAAGCATTTGATAGAGTAAGACACGACCTACTATTAGAACGTTTGCAAGAAGTCGGTTTAGATGGAAAATACATCAAATTCTTAAAAAACTTGTACTGGAACAAAAAAGCCACAGTTAGGATCAAAGGTTCCACATCCGCAGAAGTAGAAATTAGGAGGGGAGTTAGACAGGGATGTGTTCTGTCGCCTCTGCTGTTTAATTTTTACTCCGAGTTTCTATTTAAAGAAGCATTGGAGGATTCCAAGGATGGAGTCAAGGTGAATGGCGTAAATATCAACAGTATCAGATACGCCGATGATACAGTGTTAATTGGGGATTCCGACTCAGGTCTACAACGACTCATCGACAAGACCAACTCCACGTGTGAGCAATTTGGTATAAAAATAACCATTAAAAAAACCAAAGTGATGTCAATCCGAAAAAACCAAAACGTACCTCAACCTTGCACAATAAATGAGCACATCTTAGAACAGGTCAATAGATTCAAGTACCTGGGATGTTGGATCGATAGCAGCCTAAATCATCCTGATCAAGAAATAAGATCGAGAATAGAACAGGCTAGAAAATCTTTCGAAAAAATAAAAAAACTGCTTTGTGATTCTCGAATAAAACTCGAAATTCGACTACGTTTATCAAAATGCTACGTCTGGTCGACTCTTCTATATGCAGTTGAAACGTGGACTCTTAAAACATCAACCGTAAATAAATTGGAGGCCTTTGAAATGTGGATCTACCGGAGAATACTCAAAATTTCATGGACATCGCATACCTCAAACGAAGAAGTGCTGCATAGAATAGGCAAGGAAAGATAACTTTTTAACACAGTTAAAGTAAGAAAAACATCATAGCTAGGCCACATACTGAGAAATAATAAGTACCAATATGCCCAACTTATAGTGAAAGGAAAAATCGAGGGAAAGAGAGGCCTAGGAAGGAAAAGACTATCATGGCTCAGAAACATCCGACAATGGACAGGGCTAAATTTTGAACAGCTAATAAGAACAGCTGAAGATAGAGAAGAGTTTAAAATTGTAGTAGCCAACCTCCATTGAGGAGAGGGCACTTTAAGATGAAGAAGAACCAGATTCAAAATCACAATTATAAATGTAAATGCATATATCGTCAGCATATTCCAGTACCTTAATATTCCTGAATTCGTCTGTTAGCATTTCTAGGTCAAAGGTATAGATTGTATACAATATAGGACTTAAAACGCTACCCTGAGGTGATTCCAAACTTCTTGTTCTTGTTTCTAAAATTCCCTCATTTATGTTAGTTATCCGATTACGATATAATTTTAGTATTTTTCTAGAAAATTCACAACTAAAACCAATTCGCACCATTGTTGATGTAGAATTCCTAGATTTACTTTATCGTAGGATTCCTCAATATCCATATACAACGCTATGGTAAAACTATTTATTAAGAATGAAATGTTAATGTCAGTGACTAGATGAGTAATATTTTCTATTGTGGAATGAGCTTTTCTAAACCCAAACTTATATTTTGGTAGTTTGAGATTGGATTCTAGCCAATATTCCATTCTTGTTTTGAGCATTCGCTCGAATGTTTTAAGCACAGGATGCTAGTGATATACCTCTGTATGATTCTGCTAAATTTGGATCTTTTTACGATTTTAACATTGGAATCCTAATGTATTTCTTCCAATCTTCTGGATACTGCGAGGGTTCCCATATATTATTTATTATTT